TACTGCTTCAGATGATTGCTGATTGTATGATATTTTAAATTCAACATAAATAAGCATTCCTTTGCGGCCAACACTTAGTCAATCTAGTCTAGTCAATCTATTGTGTATGACTTTGTGTAACTGATCATAACTCTCTGAGCTCTGTCAATCAGCCAGTTCTCAATTCACCTCACCATTCACTTGTCTCTCACACTTCCTGAGCTTACCCACATGTGTGTTACGGAAAACAGTGTCAGAAGCCTTGCTGAAGTCAAGGTACACAACATCTGCTACTCTCCCCCTATCTACTCAGTCAGTCATGAGATCATAGAAGGCTACCAGGTTGATCAAGCATGATTTCCCCCTGGTGAATACATGACTACTTTTGATTGATAACCTTCTTATTTTCCACTTGCTTAGAGACTGTATTCAGAATAAGCTGTTCAATCTTTAATCAAACTGAGTATCTTACAATATTCATAGGTCATAGGGAACCTTTCATAGGCCATATATGTATTGCAAATGCTGTTTTTTTCTGGAAGTTCTAAGAACGTGAAGATAGTATTTAAAACCACAACATGCAAATAAGAATACAAAAACAGATGTAAAATAACAAGAGGAAGAAGGAAGAAGGAAGAGAAGAATAAGACATAGTGCAACTTTTTTGAATCAGGTCAAATTTCTAAAGCTTTTTACTTATATCTAAACGGGATCAGGTTTTTTTTTTTTCTTGGCACAGTGGTTTGCAAGAATAACATTATCAGACATACAGTCTGCTTGCATCAGTTAGTACTTTGCAGTACCATAAATCACCATTCCTCTCTGAGATCTTTCCTAAATAGTTGGTAATCTAAGGAAGAACACATGGAATTCTACTCCAGCTGAGGAACAAAAGAGGGTTCACACAAATGTTTAGTCCCAATGCAAATGGGAGGGGGCAGCAGAGAAAATGACATTTATTAAGCTGAAACTCCGCTTCAGCATCTCTTTCTGTGGAATTCACTATCCAAGGCACCTGTTACAGGTGTTTCCTGTTTACTTATGCTTTGCATTTTGAATGTATAGTAAGATGAAGCTTGATGTTGGTGTGACTTTAAAAGGTCAGAAATTAAAATCTATCAATGCTTTTAACTAACAAAGTTAGAGCTACTCTCCTATTCTTTTCTTTTAAAAAAAAATTACTGGAAGGCCAAGCCCAAAGGCTATCATGAAGGCATTTGTTACTGTCTTATAAACAGCAGCAAAACTTAAAGGTAGATGTAATCACGTGAATAAGGGCTTCCTCTGTGCAAAGATAATCTCTGCCACAGGACCAGAATAGAGTGCCACAGTGAAAGGTGCCAGCAGTGGGAAGAAGAGTATAAATTAGCCTTCTCCCCTTCTCTCTTGTTAACACTTGTAACACTCACACTGTTAAATCCATCTGGTAACAGATGTTACCCATCCAGTCAATACAATCTCTTCTCCAAAATCTTCAATGTCCAGAAGACTGAAAAATCTAACCGTGATACAGAAAATAACAAAAATATTGAGAGATTAAAAAAACTACAAACAATTCTCTTATTGCAACACTTGGTGAAACAGTTCACCAAATCCGGTTAGTTAGCAAACTATTTTATTAGTCATGAATAGATGAAATTACTATTCATGGTTATGGAAATAAAAAAAGAAGGACTTGCTTCATTCAGCAGTCTTGAGAACAATGATATATTTTCATTTGCTTTGCTAAGGACAACTTGAAAATGAGAGCATTGAGGTTTCATTTGAAAGTTCAGCTTACACAGCCAGGGTACAATTTAGCCCATTGGCCTGGGGGCCTGATTCTCCATTACATCAGCTCTAATGGAATTGCATTTGTGCAATAAAGCTGATAATGAAATAAATTGGTCATAATATCTCTGGGTGCCACTGTATGACCAAAACAGCTGGATAAACCATACACTAGGAAGTCTGTGGTAAGGTGTCAAACGCAGACCAGCTTGTCTTCTGGCTGCCATGCCTTGCCATGGCTTCCCAGCCTGAGTGGTAACTTTCTGCCAGGAGAGGGACACTGAACCATGCACTGGGAATTACAGAACTCCTCCCTTAGGCACAGACAAAATGGCTTGAGATATACTACTTATGACACATGCCCTACAGTGGCTAAATGAGGAATGAGTCCTCTCACTTTTGCCCCAGACAAAAAGCGACTTTATGCCAACAGGCAGCACTTGCAGCACGTAAACAGGCTGCAGTGTAGTACAATATCCAGGGTGGGTGCACCACGTTACCCAGCCCCTCAAGTCATGTGGGGATTGCAAGGAACATAATCAACTGCTCCTCCCGTGACACAGAGAGACTCTGCTGCTCTGCACACACCTGTAGAAAAAAAGACTGTAAGATTTAGGTGAGGAGCGCCAATATGCTTTCCAGTACAGAAACTGCACATACACCGGAGGTACCTGGTGGAATTGATAAAACATCTTCCGTAGGGGGACCTGGTCACATTGCTGCAGAACAGCAATAGCATTCACACCAAATCTGAACATGCAAAGTGGGAGAGAGGAGATGAATTTAAAATACAAATTCCAAAGCTCTTCCTGCATCACTGTGCTATTCACCTATAGCACCTGTTGGCGCACAAACATCTCTCCAGGCTGTTGTTACTTGTCAGCTCATAAACTCTAGAACTACTTCTTTCCAGCTGGTGATTATTTATCACAAACTTTCAGCCTGATTAGCCACTGGCTTATCTTTCTTTAAATCACGACAAAATGGCTCTGTTTTTGAGGGGTAGAAGAACAAAAGGATGTGCTGACACATTTTAAATTTTAAGGTAAAGAGCCCCTTCAAAGTAGGAAATACTTCAAACACAGACTTACAAGGTCTGTGAAACTTATCATGTGTGATTGCTGTTTATAATCTGTGCCGCACTCTGCCTCCTTCACCCTCTGACACATAGCAAGAAAACTGGATTCAAAATGAGATTGCACCATGGTGAATTCATTCCTTGAATTGCATCGTATGTTTCAGCAACACACAGCGTGGGAACATGTCGATTAGCTCTCGCTTTGAAGGCACTGGATTTGCAAAGGTCAGCAGTGGCTTGGCCCATTTCTCAGCAGATCTTTGGCTTGCCTTTCATCCCAGGACTAACAGGGAGGAGGTCAGAGAGGAATGACAAAAAGAGCAAGCTTTTTGAATCAAGCCTAAAGAATTTGACCATGCTTACAGTAGCGTGGAGGTTTCTTTTGCTAACAAATGTGTAGATTTTGGACAAAATTTATAGAAATAAGCTTTTGGGTTTACTCTTCATATTAAGCAATTCATTATTTTACTATAAAATAAGAAATGTTTCTGAGTTCAACTCTCAAACTGGCAATAACTGCGTGAAACTAATCTACAGAAACAGCCTGCTCCCCCCACATTGCTCTTGCTGTGTGAAGGGGAGTAGTTAGGCTGGAAAAAAAGTGGAAAGATGAAAAACCTCAACTTACAGTGGAAGTTCTAAACCTGCGGAGTTTGTGCACTGTATTTTTTACTGAAAACACGTTTTCCAGTTGTTTAGCTTGCATCCATGCCAGCTTACTGAGACAGAGGTAGCTTCATTACCCTTTCAAGCCGGAAAACTCAGAAAATATTTTGGCTACCCTCCACACCTTATTAACATAAACTGGAGTTTCCTACCCCTGCCGTTAGGGCAGAGTGCTGGGAATGTGTGATTATGGCGTTTGGGCAGTTGTCACTGAGGTTAGCACTAGGCTTGCCATGGAGTGCAGCTCCTGGATCCTGAACAGTGGTTTGCTGTGGGCACTTACGCCAGGAAGCCGCAAAAGAAGGGAGGAGGTGGGAAAAAGAGAAACAAGAGCAGGTTAGAAAGGAATCCAAGGAAACCAGCAAGCCTGAGTTTCTTCACCTGTACATATTAAATATCCCTTGCAAGAAATGTGGTACATACAGTCTGAAAAATGCCTAGAAATCTGGGAATAATGGGCTTGTTTGCTCCACATGTGTATTTTTTCAGCAGGCCACTATGCAAGCCTCAATTTCTCTGGTGCAAGGGGAAAGTAGAGAGAGTTGCAACTGTAACTGCTGCAGGTCTCTACGAGCTGTAAAGGAACAGCTTTTTCGTGTCTCTTCCAACAAATAAAACTGAAGCATTTTGGCATAAAACAAAATTTAGAAATTACTCAAATCACAGAAGGCCAAATCCCTATGTTCTGCAGATTCCTGTACAGGAACCCAGCATCAATCCAAGTGATTTTTCCATGACAGTAACTGAGAAAATGCTGAATGAAAGTCTTTGCCCAGTCTTATTCATTCATCCCAGAGAATTCCCTCCTGAGCCTTTCCAAGGACATTTGGAGCCTGAGTTGCTGTAGAAGATGCCTGCAGCAACACTACGGGCCTCGGGAAACCTTTTGGAATGAAACATTTATAGGATGTGTAAAAAAAGGTGGAGGGCAGAACAGTTCATGAATACGAAGAAGATTTAAAAAGAGTGGCTATTGTCAAAAAGACAGATGAGCAAAGTTTCTGTGACCTAGCAGGAAGTAATAAACACTGGTTTTAGGCTTTTAGCAGGGAAATGGCTTGTTCACCTACAATTGCCTAACTACATCAGGTTTTCCCAATATCTCATCATCTCCATGAAAGAATGAGTCTATGGGGGGCTTGTAACAACCCTATCAAGGACATTGCGCCAGCTGCCCTGAAAGTATTCTGTTACCAAGTATTACCTCACATACCAGAAACTCTTAGGCTGATCCTTTACTTCCCAGTTGCACATGTGGAGGAAAACATGGGATTTGAGTAGCATTCTCCTGCTAAGGGGATCTGTCTCCAGAAAGGCATTCCGTGGTTCTATAAATAGAACTTCGTGCTAACTAAGAGATCCCATGTAGAGGTTTGCCTGCAGCATCTTTTGCCTTGCAAGAAATTGATTTTTTAACTGTACCTTCCACATTTTGTATCTGTGTACATGCAGGTAAACATGTACCTAACAAACAGAGTTAAAGCAAATGCAGGTGTATCTGGATTACCTGTATGCAGCTATTTGTGCTCAGCCATCAACTCCAAGCATCTTCTTTTTTGTACTTAACATCCTCTTGTCTACTTTAATTTTTAATACACACTTTTATCAGCAGTATTTTTTTCAGCAGCTTTCAGCAGTAGCTTCTTTCAGTGTAGAAAGGTGTCTTTACTGCACTTTTCACACAACAATCAGCTCAGTATCTGAAACAAAAAGTACTGGTTTTAGTTTTCCTTTTTTCAAAACAAAACAAAGAAAGTCAGAAGGTTAAACAACTGCAGTTGAAGCTATCATGTTGAGCTGCTATAAAAATGAAAAAGATTGGTCTCAACACACGTTTTTTTATTAAAAAAGAATGCACATAAATTACAGCTGCTGACCACGTAGTCATTCTTTTTATGAGGTGTTTCCCTCTACTCATATATGATTTCCATATATAAATTCCCTGTTGGTCTGAAAACTGCTCACATGAAAGTGGTGCTTTTCTTAATAAATCGTCCACAGAATCTGTATTTCATCTTGGACATGAAAAGTTCATTAGGGAAAAAAGCATCCCACTGTCCTGGTGGAAAGCAACACCAGGCACTATTTGAGCTAAAAAAGGATCTGACTGCATAGCCTTTGTTTCCTGCTTTTCTACTTAATTATTTTCCATAATTTAATAAAATCCAATATAACACTACAAACTATAACAGTGTCTATAGTAACAACCATTTTAGTCCAAGGCAGAGAAAAGCAATTCAGTTTCATTTAGGATTTCAGTATACTAAACTTTGTTTCTCTTAAAATTCTGTAGGAGAGGGAATATGCACCTAGTTTTAGAACGGCCTTTTTCCAAGTACAGAAATCCTCTGCTCTGAAAGAGCTTGTTTGATGATACACTCTCAAAACATGCAGAATAAAGCTTGAGAGCTGCTGCAACCCTGCTTACCAGGGTCATTGGGGAAAACCAGAATCAGATGCTCTGAGTGCTCAGTTGTAAATCAAAGGAAACATTAAAAATAGGAAATTACAAAAAATTTCTTCCAGCACACATAAGAAAATCAAAATCCACATACATCATTATTTCTGTTACTCCATGTAGAAAAGAGGCAATGCTAAACTAAACCGGATGGTCACATTAAGGGTCAGCTATTCCTCTTAGCAGGGAAGCGGTGCCGCCTCCTGAAGAAACCTATGGTTTCAGCAGAGACCAGGTGAAGAATGTGCTCTGAAAAGATTCCTTCTTCTAGAGAAAAATGCTTGATTTGACAAACTTCTGGATGCGTGTCAAAATGTGATAGACGGGGGACAATATTAGCAATGCTTCACTGAACTAATGTAACAGAGCGTGGTCCCCAAAAGCACAGTTGCTTTCATTCCCATAATTTACTTTCATCTGTCTTTTTCAAAACCTTCCCTAATTAAGCTTAATTGCCATGCAGTCACACATTAGTGCAGCATTCTGTCCTCTTAAGGACCACCCATAAAATGTTTCATAGCATTAATCCTGGAAAGTGGTAGATAGCTTGTTTTGTTTTGTTTTCTAATGTGCCTAAGTGCCTATAATGCATAGTAATGGCTTTCTGGAACTGATACTTGACTCTGATTATAACAAAAAGATTTTCAGTTTCCATCAGAAATTAGCAAGGTCAGAAGGGTGCTTGTGTCTGGGGAAAAACAAATATCTCTGATGGTTCAGAATCCAATGTCTTTGGAGTGCAACTCAGGCACGGTGATTCCCAACTGTCATATTCAACTTCTCAGGACAGTTATGGGGGCAGATAACAACAACTGGACACCACCCGTGGCTTTTGGTGGGTTAGCTAGGTTCTCTCACAATAAGCAATGATTTGATTATCAGTGAAACTCATGAAAACTATGCTTAGATATAAATAAAGCTCTAGTTCGGAGTATGCCTTTAAATAGTTTGTAGGACCTGATCTATAGTCGGGCATTTAGAAATAGTGAAACAAAACAACAGCAACACAGAATCACAAATAAGTCAACTGAAGCATTCCCACAAGCAGTTGATTGTTCACCTTTAAAAGTACAGCCTACCAGAATACAGTAGATTTTATGTCTCCTAAAGTCAAGAGGTTCCCAACATTTCTAGGATGCTCAAGCAAAAGGAGCAAGTTGCAAGTATCTTAGAAGAAACTCACTCCAAAGATGCTCAATCAAGCTGGGTGGGCTGAAAATTCACACAGTCAGAGGGACAATGATGAAGAAGACAAGAAGAAAGTAGTGCTAGATAAATATGTGTGTATATATATACATATATATATACATATATATATATAGGCACAGCAAACAAGATCATGTTTTACAGCTCTGAGATACAACATGAGGGAACTCCAGCTTTGCTGACTATTGAGAGGATCACACACCTTGGCTAAAAATTTCATTGATCACTTGCATTGAATACTCATTGCTATGGATTCTGGACACTTTGACAATTGCAATATCTTAACTACTGCTAGAAATATTTCTCTTAGTTCAGAAATGACAAAAGAAACGGAAGAACAACACTTAGGTCTAAGTTAGCATTTCTAAAATACTAAAAAATTATTATTTTTAGTCCTTTCCAAGGTTTTCAAGCTTTGAGAGATGTGTATGTTAAATAGGGAAAAATTAAGAGAAATACCAAGAACTGTCTAACCAGGAAGGACTACTCACATGCATAATCCATTGGTTAAATTTGTCCAAACTACACAATACTAAAGATTCATTCATTGAAAAAGTAAGACTCTCCTGTGATGCACAAGATGCAAAAGTAAAACACAGAACAAGAAACACATGCATTATTGCTTATAAGCCCAAATGGAAGTTCTGATGCTGATTTAGTATTTTAACGTTAGCAAAAATCAGTCTTTTCAGTCATGTCCTCATGAATTTCGGAACTGAGCAAAACAAGCTAATCCTAGGTTACTGGATTGAAATAAAAATACAAACATTTCATTTGTATTTTGTTTAATGAAAGCTAGAAATTTTCAAAGAATACAACCTCTTAATTTCTTTCTTACAAACCACAGACCTAAAACCCTCTCTATCTTGACGCTATCTTTGTGCCTCATTTACTTCCCAGCCCAACATTTGTTTCTGGATGGGGTCAGCACAAGGCAAACACTGTTGGGAAAACCAAAGTGACAAGCAAGCAAGCAAATCAGAGTAAAGAAAACAAAAAGCATGTGCTTGCTCTGCCAAGTATGCTGCAGGACACTGAAGATATCATAGCAGCAGTTGAGTTAATCTTAGAATTTTTATAGGTCATTACAGAAGTAATCTGCCATATATTATTAAACAGAAATCCCCAGCTCAGAAATGATGGAGTGACCTAGTGATGTCCACTAACACCAGCAGCACCATTCCCAGGGAGAAGCTGCTGACTTCTTTTATTTTGAACTCACCTCTTTGGTTACAAATTCTCTTTCAAATATGTCAGCCTCAGTGGCACAGAGGTGGCAGTCATGGGGATGGCTGCACATGGCAGGCAGGCCTGCTTGCTGCAGGGATCCTGAGCGTTTGGGCCTCAGCCTCTTGTATGCAGCCCACCTAACCCATGGGGTATAGTCGATAGTGTTGGGATGTATATTCTGTGCGATATGACCATCTGGAATGGCTTTGTGGCTATTTCCCCAGAGAACTCATGGTGCCATCTCTCTGGCATTCGTTCTAAGCATCTTTTTGCTTTTTTTAAAAATAACTGAAATACCTAATCTCTAAAAATACCAACTGCTCACAAAAGTACATTTCCTCAGGGAAATGAGGTTACAACAGCACTGTGTTCTGCAAACGTTTGTCTATCATTTGCTTGCTCTTTCCCCTCAGTTTTAACTAAATCTAACAGAAGGACAGAGATGTCTTCATGACCTGCAGACCCTTAGAAACCCTGTGCAAACCAGGGACATCAAAAGAGCCAAATATCATGCTCCGGGGAAAGTAAATCAGGCCGGCCCTGCAGCCACGGCTAAGACACGCTGGCATCTCTCACTGGCTTGCAGTGCTGGCCTGGCCATGCAGGTGGCCCTCCCTGCCAGATCCTGAAAGACTAGCAGGGATGGTTGTTGGTAGAGGGCTGGAAAGCAGATGACAAGGCTGAGGAGACAGAAATCCATAGGAAATGAAGCTGCTTTGGTCTGGCTGCCCATGGGTCAAGTTGCTAGCTGATTTATACTGTTTTTTTTTCCCTTCCTTTGTTGAATTCTGCTGAAAATTATTTTTCTGCCAATGATGCTTTCCAGGAAAAGTCTGCAGGGCTCCCTTCAAAACTTCTGACAGTACTGTTTATACACTGAACAAAGGGGCACAGAAGACAAGATTTTTCTTATGCTTTGCTTTAACCTTACTGATGCCTTGTTAGTGAACTATGAGCCAAATTCTCAATTTCACTGATCTTACAATTGAGTAGATACTCTCATCTTCAATCTCACTTTTCCATTTCATTAGAGATTAACTGAACCTAGAGACCTCCATATCTATCTCCTCCTAACCACTAGTCTAACTGACCTCAGTGGGAGAGCACACGTGGGTTGGAGGCTCAGTACTGACATATGCCTCATACAAACTTCCGTTTAATTCAGAGTTGTAGCTACCCTGACAGTTATAATCCTGTTCTGCAGAAGTCAGTACTGAGTACAGAGCCAGTTCCTATAGGTCTACTTTGAATGTAGTTAATCAAATGAATTCATACTCTGTAGGCTTCACTACTCCTGAGGGTTACAGAAATACAGAAACACCAACAAATAATGATTAAAAATGCAGGAAGTCTCAGCAGGGAATAACTGCAGCGTATCTACTTTGTTTTGATTCACATTTAATCCTGGCACAGACAGAAACAAGAATATGGTCAAGGCTGAAGAAAAGTACTTGTTCTAACAAAAGTACTTTGTTCATATCTCTCTGTGAATAATGAAGGAATTGTGATGAACTCTATCGATTATAAATATATATAATACTTAATATACCAAACATATATTTAGGGGCCTAGGTGACAAACACTGGTTACCTGGGGCACCTCAGGGCAGAAACAAAACATTACTGATCAAATAAAGTAATATATTTTCATGGTTTATCTGGGTGAAAAGTGTTAATTAAGTTTCCATAGTTGATGACCAGGTGACTGCAATCTAAATACATACAAACCTTAGGAATCAAATCCAGCAAGAACCAGACAAAGAGAAGCACTTACCCAGGAGACTGCCTGTCTTAGCACCCTCCTTGGCAGTAAAGCTGGTAACTTGCTGGAAGCCTATAGTCCATCTCTGCACTTTGTTGCATATGGCATCTGAGTAAGAGAAAAGGGACTGAAATAAATCCATGAACTACTAATCCTTCTCACTTTCGCTTTAAACTTATGGTTGGACTATGCAGCAAATCAGTAACAAGGTAATGATACCTCAAGGTCTGTGTCTGATATCCTGCATCGTCCTTCCGACAAAAGTTTGAGTTACAAACAATAGCAGAGGGACAATTTCTGCTATTGCTTGCACTCAGCCAACCAGAGTTACATTTACTGAAAGCAAAAAGTTGGTAATGCTAAAGTTTCTGATACAACCAGGAGTTTCTTTGCTTTCTCCGCACTTTGTAAAACACTGAGCTCAATAATTCCCTCCTATCTTCTGCAGAGGAAAAAAGAGCCCTGTGATCTACAGTAGCTCAGGAAAGTATAAACGTTGATGACCTACTTCTGATACCATTTCAGAATTGCTTTAATGATTCGCTTGCTGTCCTCATTGTAATGGCTTCTATCACTGTCCAGGAAAAATACATTGTAGCAGTGTATTTATTTATATCATGATGAAAATTCCACATGAGCAGCACTCAGCAATATTGGACTCAAGCTGTGTCTCTGTGCACCTATAGTTATATTGCAGTTTGGAGCAATGCTTTTTTTAAACAAAACCATAAAGAAAAACCAGTAATTTTGACTAGAATCTGAGTGTTATAGAATTGTCACCAGTCTAGAAGCGTATCACTTTTATTGATTTATAAACTGTAAATTTAATTGTATCTGCATAGATATTGACCTGAATAATCACCAGAAGTTCCTTGGCCTTTAGCTAGACTTTAACAACATCCAAACAACACCCCAACAACAACAACAACAACTTCTCTTCTTTCTGCTGAAGCCATTACCCAACTTTCCAGCACTAATCCTGAACTCTGTCTCTCGATAGCCTGCGCTGCAAGTACGACAAAGGGCAGACAAGGGCACCAGACAATATAAACTGAAATGTTAGCTTGAGCGTAACCGGAGAACTACACTGCCAAATTCTGGCAAGCCCGAGCTTGCACCGCTGTTACCGGCAGGTCATTAGGGGAAGCTCAGCGGCGGTTCCTGCTCACGGTAGTTAAGGGCACCGCTGGGGCTGAGCCAGAGCACGCAGCACCGCACACCCTGGAGCCACTGTCAGTCTGGAAGAAAATAGCATGCAAGCACCGTGCTGCACGACTGCACGCTCTGCTTTGGGAAGATGCAGACCCTTCGGAATGACAGAGCACTGTGGGGATGGCTCTGAGACTTTTAGTCACACAAAGCAGGACCATTTCTACACGCAGTCCCAGACATCCCTGTATAAATATGGTTATAAAGCTACTAGTGTTCTCTAGCTATAAAAAGAGATAATACCAAACATAAAATCTCAGCGTTTTCTTCTTGTCTCCTGCACATATGAAAGATAGCATTAAAAGAGATTACTTTTAAATCACTTGCAATTTCCTTTATGCAATAAAAGGTTTTCTTTGCTTCAAATTTTCCTATTTATGGTGTGTATTTGGATTCAGTGTCCCTGCTTTTAATGATGCTAGCAGTATTTGAGCCATTCATCAAATGTGACAATTGAAAAAGCTAGGAGTTAATGGGAGCATGAGCAGTTTGACAAACACAGTCTTTTTGACAAGACTGAGGTCAGGACTAAAAGAACTGCTCTTGGTTAAATAAACAGAAAAGCAACAAAGTAAAAGCAAAATCTTTGCAGCCATTTATCAACGTTAAAAGCCTTTTTGTTACAAGGAACATAAAGTGAAGCTGTACACAGGGATGGGAATCAAATGGGATTGAAAGAATTTAGTTGGCTTATTTTTTTTAGGTGAAATTAAAATGCCCAATTAAAACTGAAGAATTATGTCCAAAAAGTTGACATGTAGCTACAGGATCATACAATCATTAAGGCTGGAAAGACCACTAAGATCATCCAGCCCAACCACAGCATCTAAAACCTATGCATTACTGTTATGGCCTTCTGAACAAGTTTATTATTTTAATGAACCCAATCTTTTCCAAGTTAACAGACTGATTCAGGTGGCATTGAAAGAAGAATGATAAAAAACAGACAACTTTCCTGTTTTCTGCAAGGCAGGAGAGCAACCTGTAGGCACATCCTCAGCTGAGACTCTAAACCACTGCAGCTTCAATAAACGTTTACCTGATATTAACTTGTTACTGGGAAGGCAGACCTTCCAGGGAACCTTTGCAAAATGTCAGAGTTCTGCATTTGGACACAACACTGCCTGTAAGAAATTCCTAGATGTCAAATGACTACTGGATGCTAATAATTAGTGTTCTCTCTAACTTCCGCACTGCTAGCTTCATGGACCATTTCTTTTCAATCCAGAAGATTATTTCTGACTCCCTTCTTTCCTCCCCAATGTCCAAGCCTTCAGAGAGTCCAGGAAAGGTTGCAGAACTGAATCTGTTCTTGAACGCTTTAAGTAAAAAGCTTTTCAGAGCATACAGCAGGCATGTAAAAAAAAAACCAAAAACAACAAAGGATAATTTCTTCACACTTTTAAGCACACGAAGGCAAGCACAATGAAATCCTAATTATCCCTGGTTCAGTCTTGCATCCTGTACACCAGGGAGACTCTCCAGGCATTTTAGCATAAACTTCAATGGGACAAGACTCACCCTCCTGTGATTCAGCTTTCATGCTCTATAAATTCGTGAGGGATAATATTCTCATTACTAGATGAGAAAACACACATTTAGACATTCAAGTTCTTGGATATTATAGCTGTGCAGAGTATTTTTTTTTAATCATCTTTTTAAGCATTTGATTACCATAACCTTTTGTTTATATTGCTATCCAGAAACCACATGAATCATTAGGGAATTTCCATCAGAAGCAAGAAATCTGGCAAGACTCAGTAAGCTTTTGCAATCCTAAGTTTCAGGAAAGGCTTTTACGACTTTTGGGGTGAGCATGCTGCCAGATGAAAAATCCCTTTTCTTTTGAGACTTCTTCATCCTTTCTATGGCTTGCATAAATTTATAGTTATTGGCAGTTCAGAGACAGTTAAGGAAAAAAGCATGCATCTAGGCACAAACACCAGAACGACTAAGAATGGTCATAAAATTACAGGGCAATTTTGCGCATCTTACTCATTTCTCATGACTTTTTCTTCTTTCACAAGGTAGTTTCTACAACTAACTGATATGTTTAACAATTCCTATGGCTACTGGAAAATCATGAAAGATTTCTTTTCCTGGAAGTGATCGATTATAGTCTGGACAAATGAAATAATTTTCCCTCATTATGCTTGGAGCAAAACACCCATTACAAGAGCACTGCTCAGTGATTTGGAGCTAGGAAATGTATTCCATTTAGCCTGTCAAACATAGTTAAACTGCTGTCTTAACTCTGCCTCACCTACTTTTCAAGACTACACTAATATAACCTAATTTTCACAGAAAATTCTGGACTCTGGGAGGCAGTGACTCTTGAGCTCTTTTCCATCTGGAATGGTCTTTTCATCCGCTTAGTCCCAGGCCTTTCTGGCTAGTCTTACTTAGTTTTTTTTTGTAAAGTATAACCTAAAGTTTTAAAATAATTTATAGTGCTTACTTGGATTTCTCTTTGGAACTTATCAGAAAACAAAACAGAACAAAAACCAAACAAATAAGCAAATCAAAAGTAAACAAATCCCAATCGTAATTTTTTTTTCTTCTATTTTCCAATAAAAATGTTTTTACCCAAAACACCGGCAGGAATGTCTGAAGATCGAACTGCCTTCTCTAATGTAAACTTCCTTCCTAAAGGACATAATAGTTACTTTGTGTCACAGTCACTGCTGTTGTTTTTTAATCTAAGTCTGACAAAGTGTGTATCTGTAATTATACATGACTGCAGCTAACCTTCAGTAAGGCTGGATTCTGGAACAGACCACAACTAGGGCAATGATAATTTTAAGATGAAAATTTCATTGATCCATACAGAACATGCACAAATTACATTATTAACATTGTTTTCACTAACGTAGTCATACAATAGCAAGGTCTGGATTCAAAGATTCAGGAGGTCCCTTGTAGTCTCATGTCTCTTGTATATGTTTTATGGATAGAGTTATTCCTCAGTGCTATTCAAAGAAAATCTCATTCCACAAAGGCGGGTTGGCTACCTATTTGAATATTGGTTGGCTTTTTCTTCCTTCCCTAAAACTTCTGTGATCAGCAGTGTGTTAAACTGCTTAAGGAAATCAACCCTATTCATGTTTCTATCCTCTTTTCTCAACCGAATTAAGTTGGTGCTGAGAGATTTTCACTGTGTTGATGGTGAAAGTATTCCCTTTAGTCTAGTCCTGGGGAGAGGGAGGTTAGAATCTAGACTATACTTTCACTTTGCAGTACTATTGCAATCAAACAATAACAATGAAGCCATTATTATTTATATTATTAAAAAAAAAAAAAAAAAAAAAAAAAAAGGTGTTAAAGCACTGGCAATCTACCAAAGTCCTTCTGAGAATTCACATTCACTACTTCCTCATCACTCGTTTCCAAGAAAAACCCCTAAGACACCTGAACAAAAACTAGTATGCATGAGGCACATGGAGTAATATGGACTGCAGGAGTAAGCAGCTTAGGAAAGTTTTGCTTTGGCTAACCCCAGGGAAGGATTTAGGGTGCTAAGGAACAGCAGACACTGCAATCTAGGTGAATGCTAATGTCTCTCTCAGGTAATACTGAGCCGTCAATAAACAGTCAGCAAGGTTCTATTCTACCTAAACCAGTCCCCATATCAGGAGCTAAGATAAACACCACAGAATACATAGTGCATCTTATTGGTTCTCAGAAAATACTACCTAAATTTTAATCGTAACTTTCTTCAATAATAGTCCTCTAGTACACACTAAACACGCTTGTTTCCAGTCCCTATAATTTAGTACATTAATAGAAAGTATTATTTTTTCCTGACATGAGTTTGTTGGGTTTTTTTTTTGTTTTTAATGATTTTTTTGTTTTGTTTTGTTATTATTTCTTGAGTAGGAAATAACAGAGTTGGATTTTTC